AGGACAGGGTGGGAAGGCGAGGTGGTGGAGTTGCTCTTTATGTGAGAGAGCAACTGGAATGCATGGAGCTCAACCTGGGGGTGGAGGATGAGCGAGTTGAGAGCTTGTGGGTAAGGATTAGAGGGCAGGCTAATGTGGGAGACACTGTGGTGGGTGTCTGCTACAGGCCACCTGACCAAGACGAGGAGGTTGATGAGGCCTTCTATAGGCAGCTGGATATTGCCTCACAGTCACAGGCCCTGGTTCTCATGGGGGACTTCAACTACACCGACATCAACTGGAAGGACAACACAGCCAGGCTCAAACAGTCCTGGAGGTTCCTGCAGTGCATTGATGATAACTTTTTGTCGCAGGTTGTAGAGGAGCCAACGAGGAGAGGTCAGCTACTGGACCTCATGGTAACAAATAGAGAGGGACTTGTTGGAGATGTGAAGGTGGGGAGTAGCCTTGGCTGCAATGACCATGAGTTGGTGGAGTTCAGGATCCAACGTGGAGGTGGCAGGGCTGTAAGTATCCTTGCAACGATGGACTTCAGGAGGGCCAATATCAGCCTCTTCAGAGATCTCCTCAGAAGAATCCCATGGGCTAGAGCTCTAGAAGGAAGGGGGGCCCAAGAGAGCTGGTTAGTTTTCAAGCAGCACTTCCTCCACATCCAGCAACAGTGCATCCCTGTATGCAAGAAGTTAGGCAGAGGGGGCAGGAGACCTGCGTGGATGAGCAAGGAGCTTATGGCAATGCTCAAGCAGAAGAAGGCGGTATACAGAATGTGGAAAAAAGGACAGGCCCCCAGGAACGTAGGAACGTAGGAACGTAGTCAGGGAACACACAGGAACGTAGTCAGGGAATGCAAAGATGTGACAAGGAAAGCTAAGGCACGTTTGGAACGCAATCTGGCAAGGGATGTTAATATTAACAGCAAAAGGAAGATCAGGGAAAACATGGGTCCGCTGGTGAACGGGATGGGCACCCTGGTTAAGAATAACACAGAAAAAGCAGAGTTGCTGAATGCCTTCTTTGCTTTGGTGTTTACCAAGGGTAGCCCTTTAGAGTCCTAGGCCCTAGGGACAAGAGAAGAAGCCTGGAGAGAGGAAGGCTTGCCCTGGGTAGAGGAAGATTGGGTCAGAGAGCACCTAAGGAAACTCCATACCCACAAATCCATGGGGCCTGATGGGATGCACCCCAGAGTTCTGCATGAGCTGGCGGATGTCATAGCTAATCTGCTCTCCATCACCTTTGAAAGATCTTGGAGAAAGGGGGTGGTGCCGGAGGACTGGAAGAAGGCCAGTGTCACGCCAGTCTTCAAAAAAGGCAAGAAGGAGGAGCCAGGCAACTACAGGCCAGTGAATCTCACCTCCGTCCCCAGAAAAGTGATGGAACGGCTCATACTGGCCATTGTCTCCAGGCACATGGAGGACAAGAAGGTGCTCAAGAGTAGTCAGCATGGATTCACCATGGGGAAATCCTGCTTGACTAACCTGATAGCCTTCTATGATGAAATGACCGGCTGGATAGATGAGGGGAGAGCGGTGAATGTCGTCTATCTCGACTTCACCAAGGCTTTTGACACGGTCCCTCACAACATCCTCCTGGGCAAGCTCTGGCAGTGTGGGATAGATGAGTGCACAGTGAGGTGGATTAGGAGCTGGCTGGATGGCAGAGCTCAGAGGGTGGTGATCAGCGGTGCTGAGTCTAGTTGCAGGCCTGTGGCTAGTGGTGTCCCCCAGGGGTCAGTTCTTGGAGAGCGTCTCCAGCAGGTCAAGGGAGGTGAGCCTGCCCCTCTACTCAGCCCTGGTGAGGCCACATCTGGAGTATTGTGTCCAGTTCTGGGCCCCACAGTACAAGAGAGATGTGGAGCTGCTGGAGAGAGGCCAGCGCAGGGCCACAAGGATGATCAGGGGCCTGGAACCTTTTCCCATATGAGGAGAGGCTGAGGAAGCTGGGCCTGTTCAGCCTGGAGAAGAGAAGGCTGAGAGGGGATCTAATCAGTGTCTAGAAGTACCTCAAGGGAGGCAGTGAGGAGGATGGTGCTGGCCTTTTTTCAGTGGTGGCCACTGACAGAATAGAGGAAACGGCCAGAAACTGAAGCATCAAAAGTTCCACAGGAACTTAAGGAAAAATTTCTTAAGAGTGAGGGTGCCAGAGCACTGGAACAGGCTGCCCAGAGAGGTTGTGGAGTCTCCTTTTCTGGAGATCTTTCAAACCCGCTTGGATGCAGTCCTGTGCCAAGTGCTCTAGGTGACCCTGCGTGTGCAGGGGTTTGGACTAGATGACCTCTAGAGGTCCCTTCCAACATGAAGCATTCTATAATTCTATGATTCTAGGTTGTTATTCAGTGGGTGGATGAATTTTCCCACTTGCTTACTCCCTTCTGCAGAAACAAATTTATAAAAGAGGAGTTTGCAGCTTAGGCCACTGAGTGAATCTCAGTGGGAAAACGTCTTTCATCTCCTTTTTGGTGCCTGAGATCTTGGTCTAAAAGGACATGCTGGAGGCTGATAGTAGTGAAGAGGAGTCCTAACGGATGTGTTATATGCTATCCAGGGGTGGATTTTGCAATAGTAAAAATAGGCAGATCCCTGTCAGGAACGGCTTTTTTCCTTATCTGTTGTGCTACTTTTCTCCTCAGAGCTGCCTTCTGCTGTCTTCTTTTCTGGGTCAAGCCATAGATCCAGTGAAGCACAGTGTGCCTTTGGTATGCCAAGTAGTAGTTAATCCACAAACCTGGAAACAAGAAGATAGAAATGAAACCAATGTGAGAGCCTCACAAACGCTTGTTTCACATTTGCTATCCAGCAGGAAAAGGTAGGTCTTTGTGGCACATTCCCAAACATCCAGTACTAATACTGACAATGCTGCAAAGGGAAACAGCCCCCACACATCTGAGAGCTCAGGGTTCCCTAAATCCGTGTCTCCAAGAGGCTCACCTGAGTGTGTGCTTTGCTCCCCCTGCTGCCAGCCTCATTTTTTGCATGGTAACTGTATCACCTATCTGGATGGCAGCACATCACCTTGGGGAGAGGAGCTGTTCATTCAGACACCACATCAGGAAGCACATCAGGATGGCATCTCTGTGCCCATTCGCACCAGGACGATGGGCTGGCTTGCTCAAGGACGTGGTACAGCTGTGTGTTGCCAGCACTCCTCACCCTTGGCAGCACATTCCCCATCAGCTCAGCTCAGCTCAGCTCATTCCTTCGCTGACTTCTTTACACACAAACCTGAAAATCAGAGGATTCCTCATTTGCATTAAGCATCTCTGCAGAACAGACTGGGAACTAATTATTTAACAAGAAATATTCTCAGCAAACTCAATGATAACTGGGCTGGAGGCAGCCCCATGCAGTTTTGCCGAACACGAGGCCAGAAGCTGCTCATTTGGTCAGTCAAAGCTACAGAAGCAAAGATACCTGCTGTAGGACTATGAAGACACCATAGACACCATTAGCCTACTTTGGGATATGCTAGAGCAGAGGCTGAGGGAGAGGCTGGGATACTTGTATAGACCTTTTGTTTGACCCAATACAGCTTTTTCTCAAGTCCTCCTCTGCCGCAAAGCCCCTACTGAATGCTACAGAACTGTCCTACGGAGCAGGTAGCCAGGCCATGGCAAGCCAAAAAGCCCATTCCAAGTCTTATATCAGATTGCAAAACAATCAAACAAACAAACAAAAGAAAAGCCCTTAAACTGAGAAAAGATTTCACCAGGCTTCCACTATTATCTTCAGCTTCAATAAAATCTCCATAAAGTCTTATGATCATGTTCTTTGCTGGGCAAGCTAGAATGATCTTGGTAACAAAATCCTTTCAATTTGTTAAGGCCCAACTGAAAACTTCCATATTTGCATCATTACGGCCCAGCACCTAGTGCTGAGGAAATGCGAGTGCTCGGCGTTACCTGAGTGTAGTCCAGGTCTGGCCCTTTGAAATGGCCCGGGAAATGGCCACAGAGGGACAAAGCGGCTTTCACAGCCATTCAGCAGGTTCAGGTCAGCACAACACACAGCTACGGAGCTGCCTGGCTAAATTCTCTGGCATCGTTCCTAAACCAAGTTTCTGTTGTCCCTGTGTACTGTAAGCTGAGACCTGAAATGCCAAGTGGACAGCAGCGATTGCTTAGCTACAAAAATAGGAACGAAGAAACTGAGCCCCGGCACGAACGCTGCACAGGATGGTGCAGGATGGTATTGAGATGACGAAGGGAGATGAGTTTGGTGCCTCTGGCAAGGGGATTGTGAGGCCAGGAGCTTACCCATCCTGAGCACACTTGGGATCTGAAGGACACTTCACCGTGTGCCTTGGTGAACAGCTGTAACAAAGAAGTGAAAGACAAGGGCTTTCAGCCCTTGCGGAGTATTCATCACCCCTTATCACCCCAGGACCCCCAAATCAAGCAGCAAATGTCCTGGTCCCAGACACACTGATGTTCCTATCAGGGAGAAAAAAGGGGTCATCCGAACAAAAGCCCTGCTCCAAGCACAGACTGCAGCTCCCGCTGCCCCACAGGCACCATCCGTGACACAGAACGCTGTGGTGATGGCATGGCGAACCCACCCACCCCTGTGCTTTGTGTTAACTACCATTCCCAGCTCTGCTTCAGTGCTGCTGGCAGCTGTACTGGAGCTGCTCGAAGAGGGGATAAGGCTCACACAGGCTGCATGGACACTGGCGTTCGCCTTCCCGAGGAATGGCGTGGCAGAGACGTGTAACATCCGTTTTATCCCATCTGGATTAAAAATAACCAGGTGCTTGTTGCTGTCAGACAGCAGCCCCTGGAACACACCTGGGAACGGCAGAGTCGTGCGCGGGAGGCCACGGCGGCCGCGCACTACAACGCCCAGCGTGCCCCGCGGCGGGCGGGGCCACTGCGCCTGCGCAGCGCCTGGAAACTTCCAGGCGACGGCCGCGGCGCCTCCTGGGTAGGAGACGGTTAGTCACCTCAGCGCCATTTTGTGGCGAGGGAGTGAGGAGTTGCGTGGTTGTGTTCGGCGCCTCGCTGGTGGTGGTTGGCGCTGTGCGGTGCGCCTGTGGGTCGCGGCCAGCGTCATGGGCTCGGACAAGCGGTGAGTGCGAGCTGGGGAGAGGGAGGAAGCCGTCTGGCGTGGTGGCTCTGCGGGGTGGAAGATGGTGGGAGCTGCCGCAGGTGTGGGCCGTACTGAGCTTGATGCGGTGTGCCCTGCAGCGTGAGCAGGACGGAGCGGAGCGGCCGCTACGGCTCCATCGTGGAGAGAGAGGACCGCGATGAGCGGGAGTCTCGGAGTCGACGCAGGGACTCGGACTATAAGCGGTCCAGCGAGGAGCGCCGCGGCGACCGCTATGATGACTACCGCGACTACGACAGTCGGGACTACGACAGTCGCGACTACGACAGTCGCGACAGCCGGGACTGCCGCGACTACCACCGTCGCGACTACGCCAGTCGCGACAGCCGGGACTGCCGCGACTACCACCGTCGCGACTACGCCAGTCGCGACAGCCGGGACTGCCGCGACTACCACCGTCGCGACTACGCCAGTCGCGACAGCCGGGACTGCCGCGACTACCACCGTCGCGACTACGCCAGTCGCGACAGCCGGGACTGCCGAGACTACGACAGTCGCGATAGTCGAGATTATGACAGTCGGGACTACGACAGAGATTACGACAGCCGCGACTACGACAGCCCCGAGGTAAGTGGGGGAGTCGAGCTGGGGTGTCCGGATCCCGGTTGGACCTCACGGTCGTGGGCTGGTCTGACCCTCCCGGTGTGAGGGAAGGGAGGGCCGTGCACTTGCCCTTAGTGGCACCACATCAATGCCTGCTGCACCCGGGGTGCCCATAGCGATGCTGCCAAAAATGCTGAAGTCCTGCTCCCTTCAGTGTGGGGGTTTGAAACCTGGGGATTTGCTAAAGGAAATGTGAGAGTTGAGTTTTTCTACTTTCTGCAAGAAGGTGCTAAGAGAAAACCTGACAAAGGTTCTCATGTCTGAAGGTAATATTTTAACGTGTATTAACATGCTGTGGGAAGTGTGACTTAATTTTGGGTGCTGCCTTCTCAGAGGGAGCGGGAGCGCAGGAATAGTGACAAATCAGAAGATGGGTACCATTCCGATGGCGACTATGGAGAGCATGACTACAGGAATGACATTAATGATGAGAAAGAAAGCAAGACCATCATGTTACGTGGCCTTCCCATCACTGTTACAGAAAATGATGTAAGTAGCCGGGAGCGGACTTTGATTTTATGCCCACTGAAAAACCTACGTTTCTATCAGCAGATCTGTATGACAGTTACTGCTGCCATTTTCTTGAAAGCTACATTTGTGGTGGACCCATCTTAAATATGTTTGTAGCACTTCCATTTTGGGGCTTGGAGGGATATTAAACTGTCAGAATTGTAGCTGAACAATAAGCTGTTGGTGTTTCTTTTAAATAGAATAGCCTGAATAGTCTATTTTTGTGCATATTTAGATGCTTTCCCTTAGACTTGATCCATTTTAAACTATGTATTCCTTTTCTGCGTTTTTTCTTCAGTAGAGAGCAGGATTTTATATTTGTAGATTTGTTTTATTATCTATTTTTTTCTGGGAGAGAGCAATGTGGCTTTATTTTCCAGGTAGCAAGAAACTGCAGCTGGTAGGGTTACACAGACACTTAGAGCTCCTCAGCCAAGCGGGATGTGCACATCACTGCTTTGTGTTGGTGCAGCTGTGGGAGTCATAAAATGGCTGCTGTGGAGCTGACAGGAAGTACAAATCACCTTGCTGGGTGGTTATCTAACTCCTCAGCCTTTGCAGTGCCATTTCAGATTCTAATAGAAGAGCCTTAGAAGTGATTAGGTTTTAAGTTTTTGTTTGTTTGTTTTTTCATTTCACTGAATTCTTCGGTTACCAAAATACAAGACTACAACTGTTATTTTTTAAAAAATAAAATATATATACATAATTTCAGGCAGACTCCACCTGTATTTCTGAGCTTTTCTTTGCATTAATTGCTGGTACTGAGAACTTCTTGCACTACTTCTGCAATGGATTTTTTAAATTACTATTATTTTCTACCCTCCTAATAACTGAGTATTTTTTCAGTCATTTTGTGTAGATGTAAAATTGTCATATCTACTTGATACAATGTAGACGTCTGCATCCCCATGATCCAACATAGATCCATCTCTCAGAACTGCTCAAAACAGGGTTGTTTCTGAAGTATTAATATTGTAGCTCTGCTGTTCTGCTAATAATTGTAATACGTACATGAGGAATGTATGGGAAAGTTCAAACAATTTTAATGCTTAGCCAGTCTTCAGAGAACAGACTGTACTTTTTAGACCTGCTGGGTGTTTTATTTTGAGCTAGCATTTATATGACTTTCTGTATTGTAGATTTGCATATTTTCCAGCATTCACTTCTTTCATTAAAAGAGTTCCTTGCTTGAAGATCCAGTTCCGGTAGGCATATAAGCAAGCACATAGCAGTCAGTTTTGATTCTTATCTACTGGACATCTCTGTTGTATCTGACAGTTTGAGTTCTGCTAGACCTCTCAAAGCTGCATGTTCTCTTAATTAACTCTTCAACTTCTTTCCTCGGTGTGCCTCTACCCAGTAATTTATGTAGCATGTGGCGCAACTGAGGCAGCTTTGGTAGGGATAAAGGTTTGATGTCATCTTAGCTTGTCCTTTGACAGCATGTTCTCCATAATCTAATTTTTCCCCTGAAAAATATGGGTAGAAGCTGTGTTAGGGGATGATCATTGTAGCTTGAGGCTTAAGAATGCATATACATCATAGAGCCTTGTAGCATAGGGTTTTGGTTTTCCTTTACTAGCAGTTGTAGTTTGATATGCGAGGAGGGGGTGTCAGCAATGCTTTTTATAAACACTGAAGTGAGCAATCTGCCAAAATTTGTATAAATAACCTTGCAACACAAGGCCTTCATGTTTCAGGTTCTTGGTGATTCTGTGATCTAAATGAAGGCAGCAATTATTTCGGCATAGCAAAGTAGTGCTTGGCTATGTGATGATCATTATTCTTCTAGGTTTTTCCTTGTCTTCCTAGTCTTTTTTTTTTCTTTTTTTTTTTGTTTTTCAGAAATAGTACTTTGAATTTGTTGTCTCTAGGTACTTCTTGCATATACTGTAGAATGCAACATGGATATTTGAGCTGTCTGCCAAAGTCTGGAATTTTAACTATTTGATTAAAATCTCATGCAGATTCGGGAGCTTATTGAGTCCTTTGAAGGTCCTCAGCCTGCAGACGTGAGGCTGATGAAAAGAAAGACAGGTGAGAGCTCTTAACCCAGTTTTTCATATGACGTTCCTCTTCCCCAGCCCAAAAGAGTATCCAGAATTACCCCCAAACTGCAAGCACGTGCAATAAAAATAAAAGGTTTGCCATGGCTTAGGAATGTGGCTTTTTTGGAAGATTTTTAGATAGCTGGTCAACATGTTAAAAAGAAGTCTGTCTACAGGGGTTTTTGTTAACAGGTATTGGTAAGTAATACTAGTATAAACCCTTTTGATAGTATGTAGTGTGTTGCATGGTTACCTTAAACATGGATTCAAAATCAAAAGAAATATAGCCAGTTAAGGGAGCTTGGTTCCTTGCCATGGCAAAATAACGAGCAGATCGCAGCAGTTGACGTCGCATTTGTAAAGCTGCTTTGTCATGAAGTAATGAAGCAGTTGGAGAGAGATTCACCTGTTTTAAAGGAACTGACTAACACAAGTATCCCGTCTATATCTGAATGCTGTCTCTAGGTGTAAGCCGTGGTTTCGCCTTCGTGGAGTTTTATCACTTTCAAGATGCTACCAGCTGGATGGAAGCCAATCAGGTTGCTTCACTCACCAAGTCTAGATATTCCTGAATATGGAACAAGTCTGTACAGTTTAAAAAAAAAAAAAAAAAGGAAAAATAAAGGTGGAAGGAGTGGTTTGTTCCATAACACTGATTTAAAAGAATAAAAGCTTTGTATATATTAAAATTTTTAACAGTGGAATAAATATCAGGTAATGTTAAGAGAGAAAATTGGCCACTTTGATCACTCCCTGGAAAAACGCGCACTTGTCTTAAATTGCATGGTGCTGATCTGTTTGACTCCTGAAGGCTTATCAGGCAGTCTTTAGAAAACTCAAACATATTTCTGTCTAAAATTTACTTCTCTTACATGCTGATTTCTGCATTACAGCGGTAGTAACCCTGACAAAGTTCAGAAAATGATACGACAGATCGTAAGAGTCACTCTCTCCCCTTAGTCTGGGGAGCACACTGGCTCTTTCAGAGGAGGAACACATTTATGCTAAACTAAAGTAGTGAAGATCGAGTTTTGAAAGGTTGGGTATTTTGGCCTCTCTGGAGTATAACTCGATAAGGAACCAAAGTTTTTTTTTTTTTTTTTTTTTTAATGTGAAAGGAAACTTACCTGGAAAACATGTTCTTTTGCACTGCAAAGAGTTACACTTGTTTTTGTTGTGTTGTGGATATTCATAATCTGTTTTAACAACAGAATATAAAAATCCTCTAAGCGGAGTGTATCCAGCTGTTTTCTTTTTTACATCTAAGTAACTGATGTTAAAGCTCCTGTGAGGCATGGTGAATGGTATCTTACGTTGCTTTTGGGCATAAAAAGGTACCATAATGGATTGGTAGACGTAAAGTTCAGTGGACCAAAGTTGCAGCATACTGTATGTTAGAATGGAGTTTAATGTGTCTCATGCCATGGGTTATTTTCCTGGTAAAAGAGAGTGTTCATGATGGATTTTCCTGTAACGCTAGTCAATAAGGTCAGCGGATACATCAGAAAGACTCAGGTCGACAGTTAAATGCTGAGCATGTTTTCAGAAATGAGATGATTTTAATATATACAAAGCTGTATCAATGTATAAATTCATTGAAACAAGTATTCAAATTCACTCCAGTAATCCAGCCACCGTAGTAGTAGGGAAAACATAGAATCTCCCCAGCAGCCTTGTTGCTGACTGTTAGATGAAAGGATGATGTGTTGTAACTGCTACCAGCTTTGTTTCTATGTGTGCATATCCAGTGAGTGCTGGGCCCTCCAACCCTCCCTCCTGCCGGTAGGAGAAATGGCTTTGCCCTTATTAGTCATGCAGAATGTGAGAGCACTGTCAATGCTACATGTTAGATCTGTCAGATGCTATTACAGAAAAGCCACTGATCCTGGCACTTCTTTGGTGCCTCTGCCATGAGATAACCCTTTATAAAGTACTATTTTTTTCCATTAAAATGTCTGGGATATGGTCTTAATGCACGTTTTCTCAGACATACTTGTGCTTGTTTGACTGATATATTTGGATGGCCGTATTTGGAAAGGGCATTCTGCATACCCAGGCTTGGCAAAGTCTGAGGCTCAGAATTATGGCTTCTTAAATAGATTAAAATTCCTAACTCACTTAAAGTCACGGAGTGAGAGGACATGCTGTGAAAGCATTATGGACTTTTCCTACCCCTGGAGAAGCTTCATTTTCAGTCTAGTTACTCATTTTTTGGAGAGTTCCTGCCTGAATGAAGAAAACAAACCTCTTGTGCAGGCGTTCATTTGAACTGGTGCGTTAGCCAAAGGAATCCACTCTGAGTTATGTTCAGTTGATGGCACTTGTCATCCAACCTCCAAGGAGCCTAAAAAGGGTCCCTTTGGAAGGAGTTACTCTGTTCTTAAAGGGATACATACTGAAGAAAGTGGTTGGAAAAGCAGTCCAAATGCTGTTGTCTAAAAGGTCTAGGGTATTTGGAGTAGGGGAAGAAGCGAAGCAGTCACCTAAGGATATGTTTAAAAAGTTGCGCAGTGCTATATCAGAAGTGAATAGAAACATTTGGGGGCAAAGAGACTCCTAAAAATGTGTTAATCCTGAACGCAGCAGGTTAGGACTTTGTCTCCTTTGAGACACTTCCTGGTTCCATGTCAGCTTTTAGTGTTTGGCAGCTTTTTTCAACACTCCCTGATTCCGTTTATCTTTGCTCCACATCCCATTCTCTTACTGCCCTCGTCCTCCTCTCTGCAGGATTGGATGGGCAGGGTGTAGGTGGCGGTGGTTGTTCTCCACGTCCTCCCCATATGTTGTCCATTTAATTCAGGAGCACTGATTCCTCCGAAGGGTGCTCTGCCATGGGAAAATAAACACATGTGCCTCGATACAGGAATAATTGAAGTCACTTTTTTTGCAGAAAAAGCTGGTGATTCAGGGGAAGCAGATTGCGATGCACTACAGCAACCCCAGGCCTAAGTTTGAGGACTGGCTTTGTAACAAGGTACAGTGCTTATTTTCATTGTAGAGAACTGCTCTTTGTTTCACTTCTCTTTACCAGCTCAGTAAACAGCTAAAACTTACTGGTCCCTGTGACATTGCAGAAATACCTATCTAGACAGTTGAATGAAAATGCAGGACTACGGTAGTGCTGGTGGCTACAGAAGGAATGATGGAAATGTTCAAAAGGCATCTGGAGATGTCTGTGTTAGAGCCAGATCTACATTGCACTTTAGTACTTTCTGTCAGTATTAGACTGCAGGCTTTACCAGTGAAGCTGTGTGTTGCTTGACATGTGTGACTGATACAGAGCAACTCTGAGAGAGTTACTGTTCATATTTAAAGTGGGGCGGCAGTTATTTGATGCAGAGTTTGTTACATTGTTAACGGAATTACTTGGTTAGTGTGCCATACATGTTAGACAGAAATCACTTCCAGTATATCTAGCTTCAGCTTTTGCTGTTGGATGCTGTGATTATGCACAGACACATATTATAAATGGAGACTGGAAGGTTAATATTAATGACTCTGATTCGATACACAAAGATTCGATACACAAAGATTCAATACACAGTAAGCTGTTTTAGAATATGAAGTCATTAAATGAGCTCGGTATTCTTCAGCTCAGCTTGTTTGACCCCTTTCACCACTACCCAAGTTGAGATGGCCTAGCAAGGCTCTTCTGTCATGCCTCAAATACACTTTATTTTTTTTTCCCAAAACATAATTTAGGAATTTACTTAGAATTTGTCTTCTGCTTTATTTTAGTACCACGTTATTTTAAAAAGTTTACTAAGGCAAGGATTTAAAGTTGAAGACTGTGCAATTAAAATAGCTAAATAACTTGAGACACATTTGCTGATGTGAACAAGGGAATGTAGATATTCTGAAAAGCAGCCATGATGCATGTGAGTGTGGGGTTCGCTGTTGTTTGTTCTGGTGTGCTTAGCTTCACTGTAGTACTTTGCATAAATATCTTATTTTCAGTATATTTCAGCACATGCCAGAATAGTGAAAAAGTGCTTCAAGCTCTTACTACTTGTTGCTCATTTTTCCTCCTAGTGCTGCCTTTATAACTTCAGAAGGAGGCTAAAATGTTTCCGTTGTGGAGCGGACAAGTTTGGTAAGTTATGTTCATCTGTTCATGTCTTTGAGGTTTTTTTGTTTTTTTTTGTTTTTTTTTGTTTTTTTTTTGTGGGAGGTTTTGTCCGACAGAGGAAACAAAGCTCACTGTGGGTTCTAGACTGACTTGTGAATTGCTTTTTTGGAGAGGTTGAGACTCATTGTGACTAAAGTATTTTCCTCTTCCTGTGAAGATTCGGAACAGGAGGTACCACCAGGAGCAGCAGAAGCCGTTCAGTCCGTGGATTATTACTGTGATAGTAAGTTATGTTGGGCTTACTTCATAGCACCTACTGTAAACATACAAGAAGGATTAATGTGTAATTCCAGCTGGATTTTGGCACCCACCTTGAGATTCCAATGTAGATGGCTTAGCATGGCTTGGTTTTGGTTTGTAGACTGGCATATGTGAAATGTTGTTTGGTCCTTCTGCTCAGAAAGAGAACTCTTTGGAAATCTATTGATAGCTTTCTCACCTTCCTAACGAAGCAAGTTCTCCTTCCTGCCAGTCCCACAACATCTATAGTTTTGATACTGAAATACACTCTGTTTAAAACCCCTGTGTTTCCTGAAGAATTTAAAGTACTCCTGAAAAGCTTTAATTTGCTCAGCTAATGTTATGCTTCCTTTTCTCTTCAGCCATCATTCTCCGAAACATTGCTCCTCACACAGTAGTGGAATCCATCATGACTGCCTTGTCTCCGTATGCCTCTCTGGCGGTGAATAACATTCGTCTCATCAAAGACAAACAGACTCAGCAAAACAGAGGCTTTGCGTTTGTGCAGCTGTCCTCTGCCATGGTGAGGACCTTATTGTATTGATTTGAGGGAGATAGCTTGTTGATGTCCTTTGTGTAGCTGGAGCTTTTGGAGCCCTTGTCCTGTCTTGAAGGATTGCCTCTGCTCACTGAGCATTGACAGATTATTATGTGGGTAGGTACTCGGAGCGCCTTTTGTAATGCCAGCCAGGTCGGAGAGGAAGATGTTCTGTGTGGTCAGAAGTTGCAGAATGAGGGTTACTGTGAACACACTTGAAAAGTGTTTTGATAGTAGTGAGTAGGGCTTGAAGACTAAAGATGAGGCATAGGCTGTAGCCTGTAATGTGTGAGGAGAGGCTGAGAGAATTAGGCTTCTTTATCCTTGGCAGTACCCAATGAGAAGATTAGGGGAAGCAGTCTCGGGTGTTAAGATGATAGGCAACAGACACAAATTGAAAGAGGTGAAATTGCAGTGAGATGCATGGAAAATGTTTTCACTATGAGTGTGGTCAGACACCTAAAACTCAATTCGATCTGGGTAGTCCAGAGCAGTCGGGACTGTTTAGACCTGCCTTTTATTATAATGTGTTTCTTGTTACAGGATGCTTCTCAACTGCTGCAGATTTTACAGAGTCTTCAACCACCGTTAAAAATTGATGGCAAAACAATTGGCGTTGACTTTGCAAAGAGTGCCAGAAAGTGAGTTGCAGAGCGCTTGGCTTTCCCTGTTAAAAGATTTGCAGTTGCTTTTATTAAGTCTACAGACTCTGCAAAGCTTCACCTCTCTTGTATGGCTCGAGTGGGCTTTGTCCTTTTTGTGTGACAAAGAGTGAAAGCAGTGTTTGTTCTCACCTGCATCTTCAGTGCACTGAAGCTGCCATTGTCACTTCTTGTTGTACACAGCACTGTTGTTGCCTTGTGACTTGTTATCACCTGTAGAGCAATGCATGTAAAAGTTCCTTCAGCCACCAAAGCAGTTCTTTGGCTCATTCGTTACACTGAAAATATATTTTAGAATTGTTGTGATTGAAATGTAAGGAAATGTATCTCCTTGCATATGCAAAAGCAATGTTTACTCAGGGCCTGCTCTTTCTGGTTTTAGAGACTTGCTTCTCCCAGATGGGAACAGGGTCAGCGCTTTCTCTGTGGCCAGTACAGCTATTGCTGCAGCTCAGTGGTCATCTACACAGGTATGATTTGGGGGCTGATATTTGTAGTCATAAATTGAAAAGAGAGAGCATATAATTGGATAGCTGGCTGTCCATTTAAGTGGCTCTGGCAGATCTGCTCTTGCATTTAGACGAGGACCTAACCAGTGTTGAAATTCTTAAATGCAATAACTTTCTCTGACAAAACTTACATGCTGGAATTTCAGCCACAGACTGGAGAAGGCACCATTGACTACAGCTACCTTCAGTCAGGGCAGGATGGTTACACGCAGTATGCGCAGGTTAGTAGAGTGGGTTGTACTCAAAACAGTCAGGAGTTAGGTTTTTATGAGCATCTGCTCATCTTGTGTTACCATTTACTCTCCTTCACAGTACTCCCAGGATTATCAACAGTACTACCAAAATCAAGGAGGAGTGTTGGACACAGATGCAGCTACCATATCAGGTAATACATGGTATTTCAAATTGTGAGAGGTGAATTTTTTTTGCAATGGTATTTTTGCTGTTGTACTATTTTATTTAAGTCCATGGCACTCTGCTCTATGAAGTGAGACTTGGCTGAGTTTGTTCTCAGGGCGTCTGATGAGGTACATGTAACTAGAAAACCCTTAAATTTGTGAAGTTAAAAAGAGTTATCAGTTTTTCAGAAAATTGACAAATGCCTTGAGCTCATGAGAACTACCTAAGCGGGTCTACACAGATTTCGGGTAGCTATCAAAGGCCAGGAATCATCACCTGGTGTGTCTCCTGGACAGGAAACTATTCCTTGGCTGTGTAGGAAATACCCTCTGTGTGTATGAGTCTCCTTTTGAACATTGCCTGGCTTGGCTGCTAGAGCTGGAATAAGGAGCTGAAGCTGTAAGCAGAGTAGTTATTTCTCTGTGATTATGTACTGTCTTAGAAATGAATTGACTTACTATTCCTTGTGTTTGCAGGAGCTCCAGTCACTACTACCACAGCAGCAGTTGTGTCCCAGAGTCCTCAGTTATATAATCAACAGACAAACTCACCTGATTCCCCGGTAATTGTAGAGCTAATTACTTCTTGCTTTCTGTGCAGGCAGAGTTATCCTTACATGGAATATCTGACTTATTTCCAGTGTCTCCTCTTCACGCGCGTGGCACAGTAGATCTTTTAAGTCTCCATAAACAAAGATAATCCCACAATTTGTAACACTTGTCTAGCACTTTCCTCTGCTGGTTTTGCCCTTCGTTAAAGGTGAATATTAAGCGCAGTGGTCAAGAAAGACTGGCTGTTTGCATGTGCAGTGTGTGCTGATGATACCTTGTCTCATTGGCTCTGCTCCTTGACTGTCAGCAACAGATTTTTCTGATCAGGTTTTCTGTTCTTTGCAGACACAGGCGGCTCCAGCTACTGCTAGCACTCAGGTGCAAGCAGCTGCGCCAACTGGTGTAGTCCCTGGCACCAAGTACGGTAAGCTGCAAAGAATTGCTCTTGGCAGCAGATGTGTGTGTCTGGATAGAAATTAGATTGATGTTGCCTTGGTTTAGTGCTCCATCACCATATGTCAACAGTGAAGGTGTCTCTGGAGAGTGCACTAAGATCTGCACTAAGGACATGAGTCTTCGCAGGCATTTTCTGTTGTCATAGCTTACATCAGAGTTTTGTTTGAAACTTTGAAAGACATTTGTCTGAATTTAACTGGAATGACCATGCCCCATCTTTTGTTTTTATAGCTGTTCCTGATACCTCCACTTACCAATATGATGAATCTTCAGGATATTATTATGATCCCATAACAGGGCTTTATTATGACCCTAACTCCCAGGTAAACAGAAGCTCTTCCCAACTATCATGAGGGGCACAAAATACAGAATATAGTGCATATCCTAAGCAATATCCCAAAGGGGCTATCTTTTCCCTCTGGTATACCGCTTGATTTGTCTCTTCCCTGCTGCCTCCCACTTTGACCCATGTGGTGTTAATGCTTATTGTAGACTCTCATTTCAATGTGTCAGTGAAGTGTGCTGAAGTTTGGGCTCTGAGGTAGTTTTGCAGAGCCAAATAACCTGTAATCCTTTTGGGGAAGGATGTATGTACTCAGGGGCAGAGCCTTAAGGTTTTTGACCTGTTTGTAGCAGTTTTAGGTGATCTGGAATACTCCTACCATCGATGACAATAGTCTAAAACAACCAACTTCCTTGAGTTCTCCCCTGGGTGCTTAGTTTGTGTGAGCTCTTTTTGCTCTCTGACTCTGTTTTCCATCTCTTCGATAGTATTACTACAATGCCTTAACCCAGCAATATCTCTACTGGGATGGTGAAAAGGAGACCTACATGCCTGCTGCAGAAGGTATAACATACCAGCAGACAGCTACTGCAACTACCACCAAAGAAGTGAAGGAGAAGAAAGAGAAGCCTAAGAGTAAAACAGCTCAGCAGGTAAATAATGAAATCATAACTGGGCCAAGTAAGAATTTGGAGTGAGGTTATAGTTACTCTTTTTGGTGGCAAGCTAAAACCTAGATTCTCGTGAGAAATGTAGCTTCACTTTGCGGCAGACCCTGGGTGGAGGGCTGAGGAAAGCTGGAGTTGGCAAGACTTCAGTGCAGAAGTCAGCTCTTCGTAAGAGCTGCACGTACAAAATCATGCCAAGAACAGCTGGAGTGTAACTAGACTATCGTTTAAAGGAGTGGATAAGGTGGATTCATCTGGTAATGGAAACAAGCTACAGTATTTTTGAATGCTGTGTAGGAGGGGAATGGCTGCGCTACATCCAGTGTCCTGTGATAGAGTGGTGCGAAGTAGTAGGTTTCGCTAATCGTGTTGGGAGACGAGCACGTATAAAGGAACTGAGTGAATCACTCTGTGTCTTTCAGATCGCTAAAGACATGGAGCGTTGGGCAAAGAGCTTGAACAAGCAGAAAGAGAACTTCAAGAACAGCTTCCAGCCTCTAAGCACCAGAGAGGAAGAGCGTTTGGTGCAGGCTTTGCCCTCTTTGAGAAAAAGGTGACGGTGCTGGGAACGGGCTGTGTAGTTGGCAGACAGCAGAAAGAAAGTTCAGTGCTCATAGTGTTTTTGCCTTATCTAGGGAGCTCTGTCTGAGAGACAACAGATCTTGCCAGAAGTGATCAAAAATGGGGAAGATGAGAATCCACTCAAGGTAAGTCTGAGATTTCTGCCACATTGCTTTGTGGCTGAAAGAGATGGGATTTTTGTATTCCCAAAGATTAAAACAAGGTAACATCATTAAAACATGATACCCTCCATTTAGGCGGGTTAGCTGCAATGCACTTTGTGACTCGGATGCAATAAGAAGAGTTCTGATTTTTTTTTTTCTACTTTTCAAGCCACAGAGCTTCGTTGAGGTTTTGAGGTTTTCAAAGAGTTTGTATTCAAACTTGTTTGGTTAGTGGGAACTAAGACTTCTAGCAGCTGGTATAGCCTCTGGTTCTCCTCGTATTACATTTTTTAAGTAATGCAAGAGTGACGTCTCGTGTGTACAGCCTCCTTGTTCTTCTGCTTCTGGGCTTCTCTCCTAATATGGTGATACTGTTACACTTCCCTAATACTGTTGTTCTTCCAGCGGGGCCTGGTGGCCGCCTACAGTGGCGATAGTGATAATGACGAGGACTTGTTGGAAAGAATGGAGAATGAAGAAGAAAAGCTGACTGACTGGAAGAAAATGGCTTGTCTGCTGTGCAGAAGGCAGTTCCCAAACAAAGATGCTCTCATCCGGCACCAGCAACTGTCTGACTTGCACAAGGTAGTTAAAACATGCTGCCAGAGCAGTAATTGATCGATATAATTCAGGTCAAAGTGGCAGTGTATGTTGCTGCTGGAATGATCTTCCCCTTAAAGCAAAAATACTTTTTTGCTGATAGGTTGTTTTATAAATCAGCTATTTATTTAAGACTTACTTATTAGCAAAAGCTTATTTGCTGGTGTGTTGTGAATTTCATGTTGTTAATACAAGTCTTTCATTGCAGCAAAACATGGATATCTATAGGAGATCAAAGCTTTCAGAGCAGGAACTCGAGGCTTTGGAGCTACGTGAGCGAGAGGTCAGTGTTTTAAGTGACTAGATGAGTGACTAATAGGACTTGCACAAGAGAGGGGTTCAGCTCTCTTTCTGCTGACTTGTCTCTTGTGAGATAATCCTGGTAAGCTTAACCCCTTCTTGGGCTCAGAGCCTTCCCCCTGTACAGAGAGAAGTGACAGCACAGCCACTGCTTATTGGGGAAGAGTCCTTCCATGTCTGGTGAGAATTCTGCACTGGGGCCGGTGGGTTTGGAGGGCACTTAATCTGCTGGATTTTTAGTAATTTATGCCTGTCTAGCAACTACACTGTTAATGACCCTGTGCAGTTTCATTTGTGCCTCAGAAGATTGCAGTTGGAGCTTTCTATAACAGCAGTCATTGAGCGTACTTCCAGGACTTAAGATAAGCAAGAGTCTTTTAAAACGATGCTAAATTTTGTTGCAGATGAAATACAGGGACAGAGCTGCTGAGAGGCGGGAGAAGTATGGCATCCCAGAGCCTCCTGAGCCAAAACGCAAGAAGGTCTATGATGCGGGCACAGTGTATGTATCTGACAGTTCCTCTGGTGCTTGCTTGAGTTCATGCCGAGCACTCTAGTTAAGTGATCTTTTCTCTTTTCCCTCTAGTAATTATGAGCAGCCCACTAAAGACGGCCTTGACAATAGTAATATTGGCAACAAGATGCTCCAGGCCATGGGCTGGAGGGAAGGTTCAGGTTTGGGGAGGAAATGTCAGGGCATCACTGCACCCATTGAGGTAAGTAGAAGCATGGTGCTTCGTTTGGTTTGGAACCTCTTTTATCAAGAGTTACTTCTGGGAGGATCCCTTACTTAAAGTTACTCTTCCTAGCAGAGCTGCCTAGCAAAGCCTCAAAAAGGCTGTAGCATTTCTGAGTGGAAGCTGGGACAGTGAGGGTTGTGCTCCTCACCTTGAGGAATTTGGCTCTTCAGGTGGAGTAGCAGCAGCCAAGGATTAGAGCTGAGCAGTGCCTGTCTAGCAAAGAACAGACTGCCTCAGAACAGACTGCCCTCTGTCCGGAGAGCACAGGTAGTCCAGCTGGGGGCTTGCCGGGGCTGGCCCATGCTGTGAGTTGTGGTGTTGGAAGTTATGCTCATGTGTCATTTGATTCCCAGCTAATATGGGAGAAGGGTGAGAGTGGTGTGCAGTTATCAAGCCTGGAGTCTTGCTTCTGTGTAGAGTTGAGGTCCTGCTGGAATTACTCTCAGCAGTGTAAGATGCTAGATGAAGCACTAGATGAAGCTGAGACATTGGTTTGTTTTACAAGGGTTTTCTGCGTTTCCCACATAGGGGTGGTTCCCTGGCCGTTGAGGGGAGGTACGTTGCTTCTT